TGATTCTCATTGATGAGGGTATCGTCCCCACTGATGAGGATGTTCCATGTCCCCCTCTTCTTCTTCTTCGATTACTACATCCTCAGGTGAGTCTGGGTAAAGAGTTGAGAGGTTAATGCTCTCAATGCTTTATGTGTCCTTCTTATCGTTGAATGTACCGGGAGTTGCTTCCGCATGTCCTTCCGGTTCTTCTGCCTCATCCTTCTTTTTTTTATTGGTGTCTTTGGCTTCAAGATCTAAGGTCATTAGCCTCGTGTTCTATGTAGGTTATGGATTGTACTAGTAGTCTATTACTCCTTCTTTTGAAGACCATCTACGGGGATTTTCCTACTGACGATCTTCCACAGCATGGTCGATAGCCCCACATTATGTGCTTCTATTAACTGTAGAAGCTTCTCTACAGTCTGCCCTTTACTTCTGGGGAGAGTGTGGCAGTATGTGCTTTCGGAATGTCGTCTCCCGCATATACTTCCAGCTCAACTACCTTCCAGTTTTTCAAGTGTTGGACTTTAACCCTGAACCACTCTGCTGACTGTGGAGTTTCACAGTGAATGCCTCCGAATTGAAGCTTGTGCTCCCATCCGGAAAACATTTCTTCCACTATGGATTTCTCTAATAAGGTTTGGTCGTCCGCATTGAAGATTAGTCTTAGTTAGGATCGCGACCTGCTCTGTCTTGACGACAGTTGCATAACTGCCGGAAGTGGAGGTGAGGATGAAGGTGTTACTTACCCATGCCGTACGTTACTGGGCAAATTTTATTTAACTCATTTTTTCACTAATAAGTGTATCTTATGACACCAAAAATGTTTACCAAATTTAGTAAAATTATACTGAGAAATTAAAAAATTATAGACCTTAATCATTTTTGAATTTTCAACAGGAAACCAGTAATATTTTATCCAAGCATATTATTTAATGCTCTTATTTTTAATCAGAGACCCTGTGTAAAAATAATAGTAGTTGGGTGTCTAAAATATGAACTCTGATTAGTGGATTTCATTTTTTTGCAGTGTTCTCACTACCTAGAATGGATATTTTTTTCCATTTTATGGCTGAGGTGTATACACATAATATGCCAGTTTCACTTTGTATTTTGATTTTCATTCGTGTGTGTTCTGCGTAGGCTTTGTTACTTTTTCCTAGCACCACTTCAGTAACAACACAGCAATTAAAACCTAACAGTGAATGGTCGGAGTGGGGAATCCTGCCTAGGCATCAGACAACTTTTACAATGGGTTTTGTAAATTATTGTTTTAAGGACACCTAAATTTAAGTTTTTTTATTAATGTGGATCTGGATTTTTCTTCTTGGTATTAAGTTAGCCGTTTAGTCAGTAACAAAAAATATACCGGTTGGTTCGTTAGTTATGACCTTGAAAAGAAATTAAAACAATTCGTAAAACTATCTATATCTTTGTCATTAATAAAATGAGAATCATTACCCATGAGTTTTTTAGAATCATCTTGGTATCATCCATCCACAGTTGTGGTTTGTCGATTTACCAATTAAACACCCTGTATGAGTTAATGTATAAGTTATTAACACTTTCAATTACCCAGCGATTATTATTATCTTCTTCTAAAATGTAGAGGAAGACTTGTGCTGATTTGGGGGTTGACAAGAATGCACTTAATAGGTAGAAACATGTAGCTATGGTTTGATTATTATTTATTTTATAGTACGTTATAAGTATTATTTTACTTTACAAAATACCTATATAGATGCATTCATATCTTCTCAACAAGATATTCCCTTGTTTTGTTTATCTGTAACGATGTATTAATTGAAACTAATAGTACCAAGCTAATAAACGCGATAACATTTTAACTAATCACTAATTGATTAAAAAAATATTCTTCAGAAATTTCCGGATTCCAACTAGAAACTCGTCGGTGTTAAGATGCTCGCCGCTTTTTCAGATATATTTATTAATAGTCGTTTATTTTAGAAACGGTGCAACAGTCTATCTATTCTTTTTATCTGAGTTTTGTGTCGGAATGCTGTGAACTTCCGGCATATTTAACTCTCTGTTGAAAGTCTTTATCTAGTAGGTAGAATGCTTTTGCTTTATGTTCTATTTTTAGTGGATGACAAGCCTGCCTCGACTTCTTGGAGTATGTGTGTGTATGTGTTGGACGATTTAATGCACTATTCCATTTGATTATATATTATTATTCAACTAAGTGTTGTTAAATCGGATGATGTTACCTATGTGAAGAGGATCATTAATTCGTGGGTTGATGTTTAACCATTTATACAGTGACAGACGACATAAGTGCGCTACGTAACTACGTATTTCTTAAAAAGCAGCTATAGATTCGCCTACAATATTATTACGATATTATCTAACTATTTGTATATAATTTGAGGGTTAAAATATTTTATTATATTTCGATTTATGACATACTAACAGTTCTATGGATTCCATTTACTTCTGAAATTAGATTCAATAGGATTTCAGTAGCACACCTGCTTTTAGAATCATCATAAAATCATACATTATATCCGAAATTAGACAATTAGACATTTAATAGAGTGAGTGGCAATTATGTTTACATAAATTAATTTTACATTTTTAAATATCAGATGATTTGACTACAATGATAGAATCTCTAAAAGTCTAAAACTTAATAAGCAGGTATAACAATTTTAAAAGATATGACTTAATCTCGTAATCAGGAATCGCATATATATTGTGACTCCTCCAACAAAAAAAAAAAATAATATGGAATCAATCAGTAAAAAAAACTCAAAACGGGGCGGGTTCAAACATACAAAATCAATTGAAAATAAATAAAAATTATTAGTTTTTATATAAAAAATAGGGCCTCATTTTCTTTTTCTGTCCCGGTTGCCCTCCTTTGTGTTGGTTTCTTACTCTACTTGTCTAGTTCTGCTCTGCTTTTTCTTCTCAAACAGTTTTTTCTGCTACCCTCTGGTACTTATCTGGATGTATCTGCTACTCTCACTAAGTAGTTTCAATCTTTAAATAAAATTCTTTACCTTTGTCTTTTATTTTGTTAATTTATTCTCTCTAATACAATTATAGTAATCATTTCTAACTAAATAAATGTTCCTTGAGCTCAACTTTTAACAATTATTTATTTCTCATAATTCTTTCAAAATTTCCTTTTTCACATAATTTATAACAAGTTTTTCAATAAAAAATCTGATGTGTCCAACACATGACTTTCCTATCTAGTTATTATAGGCTTTTTCCGGTTATTTTGTACAACCTATTGCAGCATCTCTATAAATGTTTAGAGGATAAACTAAATATATACATTGTCCACATACATCTACCTCGAAACATTTATCTATAGATATTCATGTAAAACGAAAATACTGAAAAATTAAAATTTCCTACAATTTTTTCATTACGGTCCATTTTAGAAAAATCATGTATAAACAAAAATTATAGAGATCAATATCGCAAACAACTTTTATTTCAAAAATTTTCATAAAAATCAGAATTTTGCACATTTTGTCAAATTTCTCGAATACGGACCATTTCAGGAAATTTTTACATCAAACAAAAATTATAGATAATAATATTAGAAGTAACTTTTATTTGAACAATTTTTTTCTCCAAACATTAATAACAGATATATTCCATAAAATATAAAAGTGGCCTCCCATAAAGTACCCCCCCCCCCAGATGTTCCGACTATGTCCAAAATCTAATCATTTCACGTCAGGCCGAAATAAAACTTATGTTTAAAATTTAATGTTTTTTATCCGTTTTTGAGTTTTCTTCAAAATTCAAAATTTATACATTTTCTCAAATATCTCGAATACGGTCCATTTAAGAGAAATTATGTATAGAATAAAAATTATAGAGAATTATATTACAAACAACTTTTATTTGAACAATTTTTATAAAAAAATATTTTTTTTACATTTTGTCAAATTTCTCGAATACGGACCATTTTAGGAAAATTTTGTATAGAACATTAGAAGTAACTTTTATTTAAAGAATTTTCTTTTCCAAACGTAAATAACAGATATATTCCATAAAATATAAAAATGACCACCTATAAAGTACCCCCCAGATGTTCCGACTCTGCCCAAAATCTAATCAGATCATTGAACGCTGAAACAAAGCTTAAGTTTAAAATTTGGTGTTTTTCTGTGTATCGGTTCATGAGTTATGCGTTATACAGACACACACACACACACACACACACACACACACACACACACACACACACATACACACACACACACACACACACACACACACACACACACACACACACACACACACACACACACACACACACACACACACACACACACACACACACACACACACACACACACACACACACACACACACACACACACACACACACACACACACACACACACACACACACACACACACACACACACACACACACACACACACACACACACACACACACACACACACACACACACACACACACACACACACACACACACACACACACACACACACACACACACACACACACACACACACACACACACACACACACACACACACACACACACACACACACACACACACACACACAGACATCATCGCGAAAATAGTCAAAACGGATTCAGGGGACCTCAAAACGTAAAAATCCGTCGAAAACTCGAGGTCGAAAAAAATCATGATTCCTATACTTTCCTTATATCTGTATACAGATAGGAAAGTTAAAAAATAATAAACATACTCCTTTACAATTTGATATATTTCTTACTTGGATTTCTAGATTTCAAACCGCCCAGCTTTGCTAAATTAAATTTTACTATGCAATTGAAGGGTTTATAGCAAAAACAGCACATGTCAGAAAATTTAATTTTTGAGGTATAGGAGGCAAGACTGCCTTCAGATAATCCATATATATATCGTTAGGTAATTTTATTTCCAGCAAAAACAACTCATATCACCCGTAAAAAGCCTATCGAAATATAGCATGATCCGCTTTTGCGGGAAACCGACGTCATAAGAAACTGTCAATAATGAATTTACATCCAGATGCCGGTAAAAAACCGAGAAAAGTACGAAATTCTGTTATTATTCGTGACAAAAAAGTTAAAGGCTTAGAGCATGTGAACCATAAAGGCCGTTTAATACCAGAAAAACGTCTGGGCGAAGATTTTAGGTAAGTTTTTTCAATAAATCTTAGTTTAAACTTTTTCTAACCTTAAAATTTGTTACAGGTGTGCCAGCTTTAAATGTTTCACTGTTTTATCTGAGCAAGAAAGGCACGCTGTATTTACAGAGTTTTACAAAATACAGTCACAAAACCTTCAAGACTCGCATCTTTGCGGTCTCATAAAGGTGGACCCAATCAAGCAAAGATCTCGTGAGTCGAACAGAAGAAATCTGGTACAGTATTCCAACTCATCAGAAGATAAATACGCTAGACCTAATGATTATGATAATGCCGCAGCTTACAGATACAAGGTACGTACAAAGCAGATTGATAATAATAAGTATTATTACAAAGAAGTACCTGTGTGTAAAAAAGCTTTCCTCAGTCTACATGGTATAATAACGCCGGCCAGACTCAGACGACTACAGTCAAGTCTTTGCGAAAATTTAAAATCCCCCATTGACAGGAGAGGCCAACACAAAAACAACCGAATGCTTTACCTGAAGAAATGGAAAATCTAATAAAATTACACATCAGATCCTTTAAACCTAGGCAGTCCCATTACCCCTTAAGAGAAAATCCGTTAACCTGACAGATGATAGAGCCTCAATGTATGTCTATACTGAAAACCTTACAAAAAAAATCTGATGTGTCCAACACATGACTTTCCTATCTAGTTATTATAGGCTTTTTCCGGTTATTTTGTACAACCTATTGCAGCATCTCTATAAATGTTTAGAGGATAAACTAAATATATACATTGTCCACATACATCTACCTCGAAACATTTTTCTATAGATATTCATTAAAAACGAAAATTCTGATAAATTAAAATTTAGCACTTTTCCATTACGGTTCATTTTAGAAAAATCATGTATAAACAAAAATTATAGAGATTGATATCGCAAACAACTTTTAGTTCAACAATTTTCATAAAAATCAGAATTTTGCACATTTTGTCAAATTTCTCGAATACGGACCATTTCAGGAAATTTTGACAAAAAACAAAAATTATAGATAATAATATTATAAGTAACTTTTATTTGAATAATTTTCTTCTCCAAACATAAATAACAGATATATTCCATAAAATATAAAAACGGCCTCCCATAAAGTATCCCCCAGATGTTCCGACTTTGTCCAAAATCTAATCATTTCACGTCAGGCCGAAATAAACCTTAAGTTTAAAATTTAATGTTTTTTTCTTTATCCGTTTTTGAGTTTTCTTCAAAATTCTAAATTAACACATTTTCTCGAATACGGTCCATTTTAGAGAAATTATGTATAGAATAAAAATTTGGTTGTTTGAGTTCATAACAAAAAGAAAACTTGCTAAACCCGTTAATATAAATTACTTTTGTAATTAAATAATTGACTAGATAAACAAAACAATTAATTAATTTGAACTTGTAATGTACTTTAATGAAAGAATATACATTAGGATGATTCATTTCCGCAAATTTTTCGGTGATCTTAATATCAATTTTAAGTACTTACTATTTAAATTTAAAGTTTTACATTTAAAATGCATGTGATTTTTTTTTTAATTTCTAATACTTACCCACCTTTTACAATATTGCAAATCGGTTTGATGGACATTGTGGGGAATTTCACGCTCTTCGAAATTATATTCATTATAAGTGAGAAATCATAATAAATCTAAAAAAGTTCTTAGTGTAGGGAAATATAGTAATCAATAGAAAAATTAATCTAAATAACATTATGAGTTAGTATTTATCAATTTCTTACGTTTTCAAGTATAAAAATGGCTGTAAATTCATTAAATATTGGTCGGATAACTTTTTTTTATGAGTCAGCCCTTTTTTCTCCCTACTTTTGGCGGTTTGCTTGAAAAATTAAAAAAAATTTTTTTTTTTCAAAAACTACTTTGACGACTCCTACTGGTGAACCAGTGCGAGTAACACAAAAAAAAACTCTGAGGCGATTTCGAAGAGCATGAAATTCCCCACAAGGTCCATCAAACCGATTTGCATTATTGTAAAAGGTGAATAAGCATTAGAAACTAACAAAAAAAAAAACAAATTACATGCATTTTAAATGATAAAACTTTAAATTTAAATAGTAAGTACTTAAAATTAATATTAATAGCTTAAACTTGGTGAGATTTTTTCTTCTATATGTAGATTAATATTTTGCTTGAGCACCGAAAAAAAAAACGGAAATGAATGTATTTTAATTTTAAATTTTAAATTTTCAAATCTTTTACAAAAATTCAAATTATTTGTATATCTTCCTTACTTTATTTTTTTTTACTACTTAGTTCAGCCAATCTACTACTGTAATTACTACTATAAACTATAACTAATCATAGATTTACTACTTTCTCGATATCTTTCATTATAGTCTACGTAAAATTTGCCTCTTATTAAAAATTAAATTTTTAAATCTTTTCGTTTACTTTTGTTCTCACTCTTTCCTTTTCTATCAACCCCCGATTTTTTATTTATTTTGTCCTAGTTTTCCTTATCTATGCTACTTTTTCTTTTATCCTCCTGTACCTGTTTCACATTTATTCTAATTTTACTTTTATGGTTTTACACAAATCTTTCATAATTGTTTCATATTTCTTCTTTGTGTTCTTTTTTCTCCTTTTATTTTCTTTCTCATTTTCTTCTTTAATTCTTGAATGATTACTGCTATTTCATTTTCTTTGCTCATATTTACTTTTTCCTATTTTTGAATCTGTATTTCTTCATTAGATTCTTTTTCTTCAATTTCAAATTTTATATCTTCTATTTCTTCATTTATCTCCTCAATTTTAATGTTTATTTCAACTTCTTTTGCTTTTAAATCTATTTCTTCTTTATTTAATTTTATCTTTTCTTCTATTTTTTTTAATTTACTTTATGTTCTTTCAATTTACATCTATCTTCTTTCATTTTATTTGTTTCTTTACTATTTATGTCTATAATTTTGACTAATTTGTTAAGTATTTTACTTTATCTTGTGTAATTATATAAATAATTGCTTTTTCATTTTCCTTTCTCTTTTTTGTTTTCTCCTCATAATCGTTGCAAAAAAATATGAAATCGGGTTTACATTGGTCTATCGTACTTAGGAAGATGAATTATGATCTTATTTATCTTTCTAAGTGCGATATACCAATGTGAACCCGGTTTAATTTTCAATTGTGCCGAAAAAATATCTTCAATATGTTAGTGTTTTGGGACATTTTCCTTTCTATAATTAAACAAAAAAATAATATCTGATCAATGTGTTGGGCCGAATTTCTCTAGACAAATCCTTACTACTCCACTGCAATCACCTATATTGTCACATAACATAAAACCAAACATTTTCGATAGTGAAGATAGTTGCAATTAAAAAAAGGCACGAATCTGTTGTAGAAATATCTACAAGTGCAAAATTTATTAAGGCTATAGCTATAACATAATCATGTAGGTAAACTTAAATTACCGGTAATTTCACAAGTTTTTAAAGCGTGTGTTGACATTTATTGGCAAGAAAAACTAAACCGATAAGCGTTAAAATTATGTAAGCTTCCAGCAAAGTAAAAAATAAATAAACCAAACTATCTAAAAGTAATAATAATAATGAATAAAATGAATTATTGTTTTAAAATACCAAGATTATTTGATAAATAATTTTGTCCGCTACTATTGTATATTTTATCCATTTTTTAAGAGATTTCTTTATCCGCATTAAGAATAAAGATCCGCTTATTCGTGTAAAGCGGAAAGTCTTACATTATTCACCTTACAGTCCTGATCTGTCCCCATGTAATTTTCACATTTTCGAACCATGTTTCTCAAAGGACAACGGTTCAATTCGAACGCTGATGTAGAGTTTGCAGTTGGGGAATGGTTCTGCAAATAGCAGAAATAATTTAACCAACAAAAAATCTACAAATTGGTTCAACAGTGTGACCAAAGATATGAACTATGAAGACTAGAGAGAAGGAGGTGAATCGGCATCTTGATTGGGTTCCAAAAACGAACACTAATTAAGCTTTTAGAATAATCGCAAGGGCAGTGGAGTTCCAAGTGATCTATGAAATACACATGACTTCTTATCGGCATTTTACATAATTTTGTGAAAATAATGAAATATATTTGTTTTTTGCTGAATAAAGCATAGAAAATACTTTTTAATAAGTCTTACGTGTTTTAATCGATTAATTATAATCTAATCAAAAAGACTAAAATCAAATTTGCAAAGTTGGCTATGTCAGTTATACGCATTAGTCATATTTATGAAGACTAGAGATAAGGACACGAATCGGCATACTCAAAATACGGTCCCAAAAAACGCATGCTAATTTTGTCAAAATAATAAAAATAAACTTATTTACAGCTAAATAAAGCACAGAACATACTGTTATATTTATTTCTAAATAAGTCTTGCATATTTTAATTAATAAATTATTTAATTTTATCTATATAAAATACAAATTAGGTATGTATGACCAAATTTGAAAAGGTTTCTTAATTGCTGAAATTTGATATGTACAATTTTGTGGCAATTTTTTTTAGAATTGAACCCATATATAGTTTTAAGAATAAAATAAAATACAGTTAACAGATTTTTTTCTTGTTGTAATACAAGTATAAAGGGAGATTTGGGAATGTACACGGTATTACCTCATCCTTTAATTTCAGCTTTCCCCTTTTTATTTTGCTAACAGTACCATCAGTAAAAATAGTCTCATAATATTTGATAATATCTTCTAAAAAGTATAGAACAGCATTATCTCTAGAAAGTGCTTTATCGGCACTAGGAACGATATATATGCTGCCACTGTTCTAAACGTTTAGTATCCTATAAAAAACATTTACAATGACAATTGGGGACCAAAAAAAAAAACAACAGTAGCAACTATTTATCTAACATTAAAACTCTATAAAAAATAAATAACATTGCGGGTCCGTATAAGATTAAGAGTGTCGGAATTAAAAGAAAAAAATTATTGCAATAAAAAGTACTCATTTTATATAGTAAATACCTAAAAAAAAATTTGCGGAAAATCCACAAAATTTTGAGACAAATTAATTAAAAGTTGTAATTTTATAGGTTATTTTGGTTTTATCATACTATATGTAGGTGAAAATTTCGAAGAGAGCGAGCGAAGCGAGCTCGCCCGAAATTCGAAATTCGCGCGAATTTCGAAACATAGGCCGGGCGTGCTCGCTTCACTCGCTTGCTCTCTTCTACGTAAGCTACCTCTAAGAGGGAAAAATAGCGCGCCCGGCCTACGTTTCGAAATTCGCGCTTCGCTCGCTCTCTTTTGCGTAAGCGTGCTTTAAGGGGGGAAAATGGCGCGCCCGGCCTACGTTTCGAAACTCGCGCGAATTTCGAAAAGTAGGGAGGGTGCGCTCGCTTCGCTCGCTCTCTTCTGCGTAAGCGTGCTCTAAGGGAGAAAAATAGCGCACCCGGCGGCCTACGTAAGCATGATCTAAGAAGGAAAAATGGTGCGCCCGGCCTAAGTTTCGACATTCGCGCGAGTTTAGAAAAGTAGGGCGAGCGCGCCCGCTTCGCTCTCTTCTGCGTAAGCGTGCTCTTATGTTGTAGGTGAAAAAAAGG